TTCGATTCGGTCGAAAAATTTCGCCTAGTAGAAAACCGCCTTTAAAGCCGTTTTCCACTAGGCGGAATTTTCCGCGGAGCGGAATTTCTCTTTGTCTTGTGATTTCTCGGGTGGAACTAATTAGAAAAGACAAAGAGAAATTCCGCTCCGCTTAGTGGAAAACGGCGTTTATAACCACATTTTAAATTCTTATTTAACCTGGAAAGAAGGATTTATATGAACAATATCCAGAGTGTTGATATTTCAACATTTCGACTTTCCAGTATCTCGTCGGATTATCTAAATTCTAAAGTACTATTCTGTGCACCTCTAACTATATTTTATCGTAAAATTTTTCAGGATCAGCATCACAATATGCTGGAGTATCAGTTGCACAATGAGACAACTTCTCTGTCTTTTGTGTTTGGTGAACTGGAAAGAAATCGCGAGCTGCTGAAGATTGAGGAATATTCTGTTAGTCAAACAACTTTAGATCAGGTATGAAACATTTTCATTTTTCAAGCAAAAAGTATTACATTTTTCTTTTCTTATAAAAGGCAAAACGACTTGACCACCAACCGTCGGGGTTAACGGCGCTCTCTCTCTCTAGAAATTTGGATTTACCAATTTTATTCCTATAATGTTAAAGTCTGACGACACATTTCTATAAGAGGCCGGGAGATTTCCCGCAGTTTGTGGTCTGATGTCAAGAAACTTCAAAGCTACAAAATAGAAGACCTTTGTTTGATGTTGAACTGCATCTCACCGTGCACAAATCCTTTGTCTCAACTTCATTAAATATTATTCATCGTGGCTGCACGTTTCATCTCAGCTATCCCTATTGGACGATTACTTCATTATACGAAAATACAATGAGCTCAATCACCGTGACCGTGCACAAATTAACATAAACTCCGACAAAAACATAATAAAATGACTTTTGTTCAGTTTCCAGACCATCCTATCTTGATAGACTATGGTTTGAGCAAATCCATGCAGAGCAAGTATTGTAAACCGCATACAAGTTGATTATGATTAAACACTTCACACTTAAATATAAAGGTCTGAAATGATATCCTAAATTGTGTCTGCGTTTTTTCGACCAAAAATCTTGGCCGTATACATTTATTCTTGAACGAAATTGTGAAGAAAACGATTTTCACGATATTGAAGACACTCGCATATATTCTAGCTAGCGAGACAATGCTGCGTGAAGATTAACAAAATAAAGTTTTGATGAGTGATTCAACTACAATTTAGCTTTAATATATTAAAAATCCATGTTACTGTTGGGAAAGCATTAAGAACAGCTATCTTACTATTTTGTGTAACCTTTTTGTAATATACCTGTATATTTTATGGCTTTTTATGTAAAGGGTGCCGTTATCAATTGGGAGTTATCCTGTTACTGCATCCTGTCACTACGGTTGTTCGTAACATTGTTTATGTATTTATCTGTAATATTGTGACAAAACTTATTAAATTAAACAAGACGCTCTGTGGAGCGTTAACTCGCTGGGGCTACACAACTGACGCACATTACTGTTAAGATCTAAAGACTGATTTCTACTGGCCAGTGCCAGTTGCGTTTTTCGTACGCACGTATACACGCACGTAAAACTTTGAATCCTTCTATTTTTAAATATTTTACAAATAAGTTAACAAATTCATACTAAAACTTGCGGAGCAGTAAATTCTGTTGCTTTATTTATTTGGTTATTTTACAAATTTAAAGTTT